ATCGAATGAGAGCAAAAAAGCGGCAGCCAATACCGAGAGCTCTCGCCTAGGTTAAACGTAACAGCTTTAAAAATTGCTAGGAGACGATAGAACATTGTTGTATTAAAAACATTTAAAAATCTTTTGGCCAACTGTATTTACTAAGTTGTCAAAAGCTTTCAAAAATGAGGTTATTAATCTATGACTTATACTTCAGAACGCCAATGTTTTAAAATAACGATTAGGAAAGGGCTGGGAAAAAACTCGCGTTGTCTCCCTGGCGTTGCGCCCACACTAAATAAATAAATAATTATCATTTCAGTATAATCATCTAAGGAAAACATTATTTATAATAACTTAATTTATAACCTAATATAATATTAATGACAGGAGTTTGACAGCAGTGTCACAATGAATTGGATTCCAGTGGACCAAATATTTTACATATTTTTTATTATCAACAATGCAACCTAAGTATCCTAGCAATTTAAAGAATTCCCTATGGCCATCTATTGGGATTGGCTATCGTTTTTTATTCTTATCTCGCTTATCCTTTGCGTTAGACAATTTTAATTTTCAAATATGTGTTTCACGTTACTTTCGGCACGTTCCGGTTTTCTATGTGGCGCGAGTTCTGGGACACCCTGTATATATATATATATATATATATATATATATATACCTATGTATGTATATTTGATACTATGGAATAACATTTTTTATTTTAATTAAAAAATTATTGAAACATAGCTTTTATTACTATACATTACCTAATAGTCTCAGGTAAAAAAATTATTTCGAATTTAAAAAATAATTAAATATAGGAAAAAACCGGTTTTTTCACGATTATTGATATTTCCTAAAAATTGTATTGTTTTACCGAAGAACACTCGATAAACTATGATATTTCATGTTTTTAAGAGAATATTTCGTGATAGAGTATGAAAAACTATAAGTCATCATTTACTATTTGAAGTTGAACTTTAATCTCAAATAACTTTTAAACGAGTCGACTAAGCAAAAAATCATATCAGCCCTTTTTTGTAGATCGTTCAATTCCCTACAAGAATATGTATTGATTTCTACAACTCACTGATTCGTTAAAACGCAATAAAATTAAAAACAAAAAAATGTTTTTTTCACGTGTTATTTAAATGGAAAATATAAAATCGCGATGAGCCACCTCTTAATAATAATATTAAGAGCTCAAACTTTATCAGAATTTTTTTTTCGTCATCTTGGACGATATTTTCATGGTACCTAAAGAAAAGAAAATTAAAAGTTTTTTTTGGCCCACCCTAATATATATATATATATATATATATATATATATATATATATATATATATATATATATATATATATATATTATATATATCTTTTAAACGAATTTGGCCAATGTCTCAATTTTATTGGAAAATGAGATTATATTTTTTTTCATGCGTAAAACGCTTACAAGTAAATTAAGAAAGAGTAAAACTTGATAACCTTTAATATTGAGAAAATTATTTAATATATTTTATGTGTATGTATATTATATATTTATAACAACTGCATCAGAAGAATATTCAGAACTTTCTTAATATTGAAGGTTACTAAGTTTTACTCTTTCTTAATTTACTTGTAAGGGTTTTACGCATAAAAAAAATATAATCTCATTTCCCAATAAAATTGAGACATTGGCCAAAATCAAAATTATTTAAAAAAATTGTTTATAATATAAAAAATTGACAATTTAAAACAATTGCTCGATATTTAATAAAAAATTTATACATTTATCTTTTTTGTATTAGTTTTTGGTATATAAATTAATAAAAAACTTGATGCGTAATTTTTCGAAAAAAAATTAGTGGAAAAAATCTACTTATACCTATCAAAAAACCTAATTGTTTTCAAAATCCATAAAATAACTTTTCTAGGTGGCGGGTTTCACTTTTACTCTATAGATATAGATACAGAACCGATAATAAAAGATTTTTCAACGTGATATTCAAAACTCCAACACATGCGATATACAAGGTGTCCCTAAACTTAGTGGCATAAATTTAGGAGCAGATTAAGCAAGTCAAAATAAGACGAAAATCTAAATAAATATTTTAGGTTAGGTTTTTGTAACATTTGATGCAATTTATCGATTAAACAGTTCGGCTACCATTAAAAAGGTGTACTTCTCAAACTTCGATAAAATAAACCGTTTCCGAGATATTTCAGATTACAATAATTGTTTTATCGCATTATTTAAAGGGATTAAAAGGTATATGATAACAAATTTTATTTTTTAATTGAAAAAACTAAAAAGGGCATTCCATGAGCCTCGGGACTTTTTGCCCTGACCGTCACATTAAAGAAAATGTAGTTTTGTCAATTAAATTTTTTCGTCTTATTTTCACTTGCTTAATCTGCTCCTAAATTTATGCCACTAAGTTTAGGGACACCTTGTATATTCATGTAGGTATATGTGTATAGATATTAATGTTCATGTGTAGATTTGTATACAATATGGATTCTGCATTGATGCTTATTTATTTATTTATATATTCTTTCTTTTAATAGCATATTTAAAAATATTTTATTATATTATATTTTGTCCTGTAATTGAGGGAAACCCTGTTGGGCTAATAAAGTTTATTATTATTATTATTTTTCTATACCTAAATATCGTGCAAAGACAAGTAGTAAAGAAACCCCACATGTAGTGTTGTAAATGAGGGAACGTTCTCGAGTGTGACAGGAGAACTTTTGCGAATCTTCGCGAATCTTCAAATAAATTTGCGCGCACTTTCCCGGACGAGCATTTTGGAACACAATCGAGAACTTTTTCGGCAAAATGCTCGATCACTAATAAACAAGTATACAAACATGGGAGTAAATGGATAAACGTCGTACTGTAGCTTTTATAGAAATATTACCAATGTTATGAAATGAGTTGTGCTATAATAATAATAAATAATAATAATAATTAGTTAATTATTAATAAAAATGTATAATCCAAATTTTAACAATTTATTTTTTAAAAACCGCGTGAAAACTGAATTTAAAATTTTGGAAGTACTATCGCTAACAAAAAAAAACTCATACAGCTATATTGTGGCTGTGTGAATAAAACTTTTCCGTCAATGTCAAGCTGACATCGAGCTTTGTCACATCCATTATGACTTTTTTAACATTTTTAACCAAACAATGCAGACGAACTCTGGCAAGCCATTGAAGCCATTTGGAACGAGATAAAGCAAGACGGCGACTTCCATGCTTTGCCGTTTGCGGGCAGTAATTGACAAAAACAGAGGGATGACGAAATATTATTTTTTTTTTCAAACTTCAACCTAACTTTGTATTTAATTTTAGACCTTTCAAATGTGACGTATCATGTTAAAAGCCATAATTACTCCAACGAAATGATAGAAAATCAGGAACACTAGATTTTTAAGCTGTATGAGTTTTTTTTGTTAGCGATAGTAAGCATTTCATTTACACATCTTTCAATGACGGAAATTTGAAAATTACGATATTATTTTGTAAAACCACCCCAAACCTCCTTAAAGTCTGTGTGATTTAAGAAAACTGATTTTTGTTCTTTTTTTATAACTTTGTTAGTATGAGTATGAGTATGGGAACGTATGGCAGGCCCCAGATATATTGTCATCCACTAATCTCCCGGGGTTATTTTACCCCCTTTCCGTTCTCCTGCGTATCCCGCCAAATCACAGCATTACCTGTGTTTGTTGGATCCGAAGTTTTTACGCCGGCTGGTAGTTCCACCCTAGGAGGTCGTGGATGACAGTGTCAAAGGTTAAGGCCGCTCCCGGATTTTTGTCAGCCGGGTCGGGCCATACGTCCAGTTTAGGAAGGGTTTTTGGAGGACATTGAACTGTCCCAAAACTAAGTACAATCCGGAATCCTCCTCAACCTAGGTCTTAGTAGTATCCCCATTCAATTGGTATTCGTGAATGGGGGTGGGTATTTTAGTTCTTTGCTTACTCCGGCTACCAACATTGTATATTCTTTATTTATTTTATTGCTAAATTAGTGTTTATACCGTTTACATTTAATTTATATCTTTGCATTCTTACTTTTTTTTTCCAAATTTAATTTAAATATATAAATATTAATATACAAAATAGATAAAGCCGGCCCTGTAGTGTATGTGGTGGAATGCCACCATATGGTCTGCATTGACCATTGATAGGATATCCTATCAACAGTCAATGCAGACCATATCGTTCTTCTTATCTTCTGTGCTATTCTTGTATTTTTGAGCCGGGGTGTTAGTACGCTTTTTTATAACTTTGTTAGCAACATAATTATTATGTTACATAATGTCAATAACATTATGTGTGACATGTTATTTTTGTTCATATCAGACTAACTGTTAACTACATTATGTTATAATTAACATTTCCTTACAGAATATATAGCTATAGCTCCATAAAAATATTGAGAAAACTGGTAATCTTCTCAAGAACATTAAGGAAATTAAGAATCTTTTTGAGAATATTAAGAAAAATTAAAATATTAAGAATAAACAAGAAAAATAAGAAATATTGACAAACAATCTTTAATGGCCTAATACGTATAATATATTAGCAGTACTGCTGTGCTGTTAATAAATTCTCGGGAATTTCTAGTTTATGCTAGTTTTTTTCGTTTTTTCTTATTTGTGCTCAAGTTGCGTTCCCCAAAAAATGCATGAGCACTTTTCATATTCCACATGGCATAATTTTACAAAACTTTAAACTATAGTGGGTTTAATTAACTTAAGTTTTGAATATCTTAAAAGCAAATTGAATAAAAAAATGTTTATGCCATTCAGGACTTTTCAATTAAGTTGCAAACACCCTATAGCAAAAGATGCCCTCCTCAATATAAATTTGATCGGTTTAACTAAATTAACTAAAAAATAGGTTAGTAGGAATATACCCTTTAAAAAAATAAAAAATAGTTACTACCTACTATATTTGATATTAATATTTTATTTGATTCCTTTTAGCAATAAAACAAAAAAATAAAAATAATGTTCTTACCATTAACAGGGTTGCAGGAGGCTCCATTTTTACAAACACATTTTTCATGACACTTTGTTCCAAACGAATTATTTCTACAAGGGCGATCACATTGCTGTCCTTCCCAGCCTGCTGCGCAAAAGCATTCGCCTGTTTCCAATGAACAAGTCGCGCCGTTTTTACCTGAATATGTTAAATTATATATGAGATGTATAATGAAGTATTTAGAATTGATTGATCGAGTTAAAAAAGCGATTAATTAATTAACATTTTAAAAGAAAAAACAGTTAAAATAAATTTTAATCCATATTTTGTGACAGTGAATAACATTAACAGTAATGCAGGAAGTTTAATAAAAACTAAATTTGAACCATAAATTATTTTTTATTAAATATAGCAGATGCTCAAGTACTTTTAAAAGTGTGCATAAACGCTAATAAATTAACTAATTTATTACAAATTATTTGCTGGTTATGTTATGATCCCGCTTTTTAGTTATGGCAGACAATGCAAATATCGATCTCTTTTTAAAATCGCTCAGCGCTTTTAAGCACTTCTGAGCACTTACCGAGCTTTTTTAAAATATCCAGGTTTATGTGATAATTTCGCTTTTTAGTTTAATCAAGAAATTTCAAGCATTTATGGTCGCTCATTATTCTCTATTTTTTAGTTGTCTATAGTAGTCATACTTTATTTAAATTTAATTTATTTTAGGTATTTTATAAATTATTTTATGTAATCATCTCATGCATTTATGCATAATAGTTTATTAGTCATAAATTATTACTTACATTCGCAAGTGTGAACGCAATCTTCGCCAAATTTTCCAAGTGGGCATGTTTCATTACAGGCACTTCCTGTAAACCCAGGCGGGCAAATGCAGGTGCCGTTTACAGGAGAACACTGGGCATTATTTTCACAATGGCATATTTCGTGACATCCTTTTCCATATGTTAAAATAGGGCACAATCTGGAACAATCGCTATTCCAGCCTGGTTTGCATTCGCATTCTCCAGTCCACGGGTGACACCTTTAAAGTATAGAATTTTATTGAGGGGCTCGGTGCAAGAACCGGGTATCTCCATATTTTTGCTAAATTGATTTAGGTATATGAAGATAAACCCTTCAGTAGTCCGCATCGTTCGGTGCACAAACCGTGTAGATCCACGTTAGCGTTAACTAAATATATCAGATACAGAAGATACCGCAGAAATTATACTTTGCAAAATAATTTTTAACAAGGTTTTTCTTTTCTCCTGAACATTTTCCGAATATGGAGATACCCGGTTCTTGCACCGAGCCCCTTAATTAAGAACTTACTAATTTTAAAATTTATTAAATCTATAGTAGTCATAAGCAAAATATTGCTAACGGTGATTTAAAAAGCCGTTAATTAAAAAAAATACATTTCAATAGTTAAGTAGTTTAAAAAAAATAACGCGTAAATCACGATTACAAAAAATATAACGAAAACATTGTATTCCAATTAGCATGTCCATCTTTATAAATATATTTGGCTGCACAAATAAATATTTTCGATCGCGTTAGTGCACTAAAATCACTGTTATTTAAAAATCGCGATAACAGTTAACGGCGTTAAGCAAATTGTAAAGCCGGGTCTACAATTGTCGCAGGGGTCCGATCGCAGAACATAAGCTTGCGCAAAGCACCCTGCGACGTGGCGATAAAGCAAGGTTCTTTTGTCAGCTGGGTGCTTTGCGCAAGCTTATGTACTGCGATCTGCGTCCTGCGACAATTGTAGACCCGGCTTAATCTAAAATTTGAATCTAATAATATTTATGGAACTAGTTGAGAGTATTAAAATAAAAAAAACTTGAATAATAAATACAAAATCAAAAAGACAGGTATAAAACTTTTTTTTTTAAATTTTAATGATATAATTTTTTTTCTTAAAATATTGTTGCTGTTCAAATAAGCAAGACACTATTATTATTATTATTATTAAAAATGGGCAACCAACATATGTTAAAAGGCAAGAAAAAAAACAAAACAAAAAATACACCACTTTTGGTTAGAAGTAGTACCCTGCTTAAAATACCACATAGAGACCCTGTTCAAACCGATAGATATTTGTATCTGAATGTATGGTGTTTCTATAGGGTGTATCGGTATGTATAGGACCCATAGTTGGGATTAATGGTTGTTCTATAGGAATATTCTTCCTTGATTTATTTGCTATCGGTTAATAGGGAAAATACACATAAAGGTAGAAATTAGTTTTTCTCCCATAGGACCCCATAGGTTTTAACAAAATTTTGTCAAATGTTTTATGGTTGCTCTATAGGGATATCCCTATATATCCTTCCTTGAGTTATTTGCTATCACTCTCAATAGGGGAAATGTAAAAGTTATGGTGTGCCTATAGGTAATTTCCTATAAATTTTCTATCGGGCCGTATCCGGAAAAAAACACATATTGAGTCCGTTAGCGCCCGATAGATTATTTTTATGGGTCTATATGGGGTATTTTAAGCAGGGTAGTCAATTTTATCAAAAAAAACTCAGTCATATCACCTGGTTTAACTTACATTTCCGTGTTTTCGTTATTGCACTGACACGTTTTATCACAGTTGGGTCCATAAAGTCCGTCTACACAATTTCTTTTGTCACATAATTTTCCTCTCCAACCCTTTTCACACAAACAGCTGCCATCTTTGTTAGAACATTTTGCTCCATTTTTACAATTGCACTTTTTAGCACAGCCGGTCCCCCAAGTTCCATCTTGGCACTGATCCAGACACTATAAATATGTATTTTATAATATTAGTAGGTCGGTATCTGAGTAAGTATCTAAATATTCCTTTTATTTTAACATTCAGCATAATATTACCCTATCTCCTTTAAATCCAGGCTGGCATTCACACAAGCCAGTAACATGATGGCAGGAGGCTCCATTATAGCAATCGCATGTTTTACTGCAATTTTCACCCCAGAATCCAAAAGGACATCTGTTTGCACACACAAAACCTATCCATCCTGGTTGGCAGTAACATTTACCATCTTCCGAATCACACGTTCCTCCATTTTGACAACGGCATTCTGACTTACATTCAGGGCCATGAGTTCCAATTTTGCATGTATCATCACATCTATAACGATATAAAATAAATCATTTATTAATATGCATTTGCAAATGCCCAATTTGGTCCATATAATGTCCAATCGGACAGAACTGTGAAATTAGGACAGACCATCGTCAGTTGCAGTGCACTGTCGATTGACGTTTCAATGGGCGTCTTTTTGCAATTTAGAAAGTTGTACCAGAGCCCCGTGAAATTAAAGTTAAACAGTAAATTGTGGTTTCCATATTGAGTTTTGCTAGGCAAATATACTAAGCTAATTAAAAAATATCTTACAGAGGACCCATCCATCCGGAATGACAATGACATTCCCCAGATATATGATCGCATTCGCCATGATCGCATCTGCATTTTTCTGCACAATCTTGACCATAAGTCCCTCGATTGCATTTTATTTCGCATTGATCTCCAATCCATCCTCGAGAACATCGACAATGACCATTAAACGGGTCACAAGTTGAGTTATTTTGGCACATGCACTTATTTTGGCATTCTCTGCCCCAAAAACCGTTAGGGCAAGCTATGAACAATTAAAAATTAAAAAAAAAAAATAAAAAAAATGCGTGAACTTACATATATCACAGTTTGGTCCTCCCCAGCCCGATTCACACTGGCATGTTTCAGGAGCTACACACAGGCCGTGCAAACAGCTCGTTGAACAAATTGGAATGCACTTGGTTTCGGCTGCATTTTTTGAATAACCCTTACAACAATCTTCTACAGGTCTAGTTTTAACCAAATTTTGGGTTTTGTAGATGGTACGAAATTTAATCTTATATTTGGAACAACGTGGTGGAAAATTAACGCACCACACATACTCGCGTACTTGATAAGGCTGTTCCTCCGATACCCGTACTGTTACAGTATACCTAAAATGAAGAAATGGTAAAAAATGCTACCATAATGCTGCCCTGTTAAGCCAAACCCCCGTATGTACAAAATTAAGTATTAAAGGACAAAAGGTCATTTTTAAAAATATACCTTTTTTATGAAGAAAGTAAGAACTAAAAAATCTGAAAAATTATGGTTTAATACAAGTTCCCTCTCAATGGCGAGTATTTTCACAAACGCAAGGCGCGTATGTAATGTGTAAATTTAATCAAAGTAAAAAATTATCTACCAATTAAAAATAGTGTGAAAAAATATTTATTGTTTTTTTTCTCTGAAATCATCGATCTTTGGACCATAGAAAATGATAGTTTTGATAAACAAAAATTTGTTATTTTGTAAAATCTACTTACGTTTCTTGTCTGGTACAAATATTGGATCCTGTAATAGTTGCTAGTGCTGGTGAAATCCAAAATAGTATTAACAAGGCATTCATTTTGTTTAAAACTAAGTATGAGCTCATAAATTAAAGTATTAAAGTTGAATCTGGATCAAACCTGTAATAAAATAAACAAATAAATATTAAGTTTAGAGGTAGTTTAAAGGTAAAGTCTGTTCGGCGAATGTCTCACCTTGTGTCATCAATTTTTTAACCAAACACAGAAATCTGCAACCAGCGGCGCTGGCATTAAGCGATTCTATCCAACATATTATATTTTAGATTGATGACGCAAGGTAAAACATTTGCCGGACCTAAGCTACGTACGTCAAAAAGCAGGTTTTTGACATTTTAAATTAATGAAAATTCAAAAACCAGTTTTTTGACATACGTCCTGCATACATCCCCTTACAATGTATACTTATATAAGGCTTATATAAGCATACAAAGCAAAAACAACAAATTGTAATGTTAGTGCTTGGTTCACAAATTAATGACGCAATGTAAAACATTCGCCAAGACGACTATATACATCATAATTCAATTTTGTTTTATTATCTTAGATTTTGTGCAAATACATTTGCTTTCTCTGCCTGGTCTATAATGTAGGTACTACTATTGTTATCAATTGGAATGTAAAATTGTCCAGTTAGGATTTATATATGTGTAGCTTCATTTTAAGAGACATTATCCATTTTAATTAATTAATATGTTCCAAAGAAACTTCAAATCATAATTTTCCAATTTGGTTCTGTAAAGAGTAAAAAGACGCAGTACTTAATTTGTAAAAAAAATTGCCTACAAATACTATAAAATGTATCTCTTTTGATAATTAGTATTTTAAGAATCTTATGTAAAACTATGTCTAATGAGTGCCATGTAAATTATATAAACAAAGTTGAAAGCAATATATGTAACGGATGGGACAGTTGCAAGTTTTTATTTACAAAATAACATTGTTTTATTGTATTACTAATGTCAATTTTTTATAAATAGTTCTAAACAAAAGCTGTTTAACAAGGTTTTTATTTGGCAAAATTAGTTATCGTGGTTGACTGTTTAATTCCTTAAAAAATTTAATTTTTTTATTCAAAAATACTACTAGTGGGGCATTCCACGTTACTCGGTAATTTTTGTCCCGCCCGTCACAATTAAAAATTGTGAGTAAAAACCACAAGTTATAAAATTAATAGGGTCAGAATTTCTCAAACGGGCCACCTGAATTAGGTCAAAATTAGTTTTTGATTGTAGATACATTTTTTCGATAGTATTTTAAAAGAAAGTTAAAAACTAAATCAAGGAGTAGAAAATTTGACAGATAATCCACGTGAGTACCAAGAAGTACCAAGTGAGTACCAAGAAAAATGTAATTTTTAGTTTGCCGCCTTATAAAACAAAATATAATGAATGCAAATTATTTTTGTTTATATCAGTATAAAGCTTATTTATTTCTAAATAAAATACAAAAAAACAAGACTTCAAGTCAATTATTAAGGTCACAAATTAATTTTAATTAGAAAAGTACCATTCCAGACCACCGAAAGACGTCCCGTCGCAAGCGCGTACAGCATACACGGTTCAGAGCGTGAGCTGACACCGAGCGCGGCCACAAAAGGACGAATAACTTTTTGTCAACTTGCGGGCCATTTTTTTTCTCAGCAGCATAATTTCGAGAAATGATTGGAGTATATGTGTTTTTTTTTCGAGTCGATAGCTGGCGCAGAAGCCAATTATTTCCGAATTTGGTATAAAAAAAAACAAAAAAAAATCGACCTAAATGAAAATTGGACAATTAAAAAAAATAACAAAGAATCTATGTCAAAACAAGATTCCAACGCTAGTTATATCGTTGGAATCGGATAATTAGTTCAGCCATAATGATTTTTTTTATTTTTTAATTATTAAAAACTTTGACTTTTAATATCATGAATATGTCAATTGAAATTTTTTTTTTTTACAAAATCTTTTAGGATTTGTGTTAGTGATGTAAAATACTATCGAAAAAATGTATCTACAAAAAAAAACTAATTTTGACCTAATTCAGGTGGCCCGTTTGAGAAATTCTTACCCAATATTTTATAATATTATTTTTATTGTGCTTATAACTTATTAAAAGCATAATAAAACAATATTTTTAAATAAATTTTATAACGTGTAGTTTTTACTCACAATTTTTAATTGTGACGGGCGGGACAAAAATCCCCGAGTAACGTGGAATGACCCTAGTACTGTTTTTGAATAAAAAATAATAATTTTTAAGGAATTAAACAGACAACCACGATACCTAATTTTGCCAAATAAAAACCTTTTTAAACAACTTTTGTTTAGAACTATTTATAAAAATTTGACATCAGTTATATAATAGAACAATATTATTTTGTAAATAAAAACTTGCAACTGTCCCATCAGTTACGCATGGAATGGCCGTATACATATATGTTGATTCAACAGTTTTTGTGGTTAAATATATTTTTGGATACATTACTATAGTTAATTAATTTGTTAAACATTGGAATATCTTTTTTAATTGAACCCGGAATACATTCGTGATATTCAAACAACGTTTTATAAATTATAACAGTGTAATGTGAATAACAAACTAGGTTTTAAATTCGCAGTTCGCAGAGCTCATACGCATGCGCAAATTTTGCAAATATCACACCGTGATCACGTGAATCACGCGTGAGTTCTACATGATATTACTGTGATGAAGAATATCACAGCGTAATAAAAAAAAATCACGTTGTGATATCATCATGACTTCACCAGAAAATCTCGATTGTTGTCCGGGTAGATGGATATGCTCCAGTTAGTATAAAATGATATAATTTTAGAAATTTATTTCAGCATTTTTCAATAAGGTTAATTGATTTTTGATAATATGGGTCCCAACCCTGCTTAAAATACCCCATAGAGACCTATACAAAATAATCTATCGGGCGCTACCGGATTCTATATGTGCATTTGTCCATGGGTTTTTCCGGATACAGCCCGATAGAAAATGTATAGGAAATTACCTATAGGCATACCATAACTTTTACATTTTCCCTATTGAGACCGATAGAAAATAACTCAATGAAGGATATATAGGGATATCCCTATAGAGCAACCATAAAACATTTGACAAAATTTTATTAAAACCTATAGGGTCCTATAGGGAAAAAACTAATTTCTACATTTATGTGTATTTTCCCCATTGAAACCGATAGCAAATAAATCAATGGTGGATATCCCTATAGAACAACCATAAATCTCAACTACGGGTCCTATACAAACCGATACACCCTATAGAAACACCATACATCCCGATACAAATATCTATCGGTTTGAACGGGGTCTCTATGGGGTATTTTAAGCAGGGAAATGATACATCCGTATTCCAATTTAGTTTTTACAAGAGTTTTATATAAACATTTAAATACCTTGGGATGCATATCAGATAGAGATCTCTAGTATTTCTAAAAATAAAAACATTCAACCAATCATTCTATACAAACTTTTAACTATGCTATCAAAGTGATCAATAATTGAAAAATCATTTTTCATCAAAAATAATGCCCAAATCTGACATAACGTTTACATTCATAAGGGATCTGTTTCCAATTTTATATTTATAGGTAATTAATTTTGTTACGCCTGTTTTTTGAGGCAAAAAACATATAAAAGCATTTTGAAACATTAAGTTGTAATTTATTTTTATTTACCCGTTTATTTAAGTCATTTTGTAGATTTAGACAGTCTTCCCAGGTAGCAGGCTGACGTCGAATATTGGTGATTCTTCTTGTCGCGATATGACGTCAACATAACGTAGTTTTAAGACGTATATTATACGTCATAGTTGTTACGTAATAAACACGCCAATTTTTAGTCATATTTTTTTTAACAATGCTGTCAATAGAAAATTTTAATTTTGAAGTACGTCATAGAAAATGTTACGCGTAACATTTGCGTGTACACTACTTTTTAATATGTTTGTACACTACTTTTTATAAACGTGTTTTATAACCCAGATAGCACAAGAGGTACCCAGGACGTACATTTCGGGTCCCACATAGGTCCGAACGTCCCAGACCTATATTGGAAGTTTTTGGTACGTCCAGTCTTATATTATTTGGGAAAATTAAAGCGGATATACTCGGAACGTCCCAAGGACGTAATTTTTGTTTTTTTTAGCAATTAAACCATGGTATTTCCAAATGGTCCAAGTGACAAGTTAGCTAAATAATATATTATAATTATCATTTAAAAATAGTTTGTGTCATGCAAAATGACTTAAAAAATATTCCAACATTTATATGTTCAAAATATTTGTTTTTCATTGATAACTCACAATTTTATTTTTGTCACTTAGAACCCTTTGGGAATTCCACTCTTTAATTCTGTAGAGCTTGTCCAATAATCCCCAATAAAGTATTTCAGGTCGACGATTTGGTAACATCGGATGTCCCTGGTACGTCCTGGGGAAGGTTCTGGACCTGATTCGGACGTACTCGGGACTTACTAATGTCTGATACAAGATATGCTCAGGACGTTTACAGTACTTCTTTGTGCTATCTGGGAAACATATTAAAAAGTAGTGTACACGTAACATTTGCTATTTTAAAAATAGTGGGATCTAATTTAATATAAAAGACATGAAAATATTTTTTAATAAATACATATAAATATTATTATAATAATTATAATTATTATAATAATTATTAAGAAAAAAACGATTCTCATAGTTGAAAGCCGCTAATAAAACTATTTATAAATATTATATTTTTCGGTCATATTTTTAGGTTTGATATGATTCATTTTTATATTATTTTTATGTTTACCAATGCAAAAAATTACTTGCATTAAAAGTTTGCTTTGTCATAATGTTTATCTATAATAAATCTTTTTTCATTTTCTATAAAAATAAATATTTTTTTTACTACCTTACTAGAAAACTTAATTAATTAATTAATTAAGTTTGCTTTGTCATAATGTTTATCTATAATAAATCTTTTTTCATTTTCTATAAAAATAAATATTTTTTCTACTACCTTACTAGAAAACTTAATTTTTCGCCCAGCACATATAAAAATGAATCATATCAAACCTAAAAATATGACCGAAAATAATATTTATTGT